AACATAGCTTAATTGCTCCACTTTAACTACTTCTTTTCTTTGGAATATGGCTTCTCAGAAAAATATAGCTTCCCAGAATTCTCGAGCCAGTTTCTAGACCCAAAGTTCTTAACTCTGCTATCAAATGCATCATGTTGTTCAACTCATGACTAAGGAGCATTTCCCCCACTGTCCCCCAGATGCTTCGGAGATACAGAATACATGCCCTGGCTTTTCTCTGCCTTTTTCTGGGCTAGCTGCCACAAAGTGATAATCAGTAATTGCACTTAAAATTAACAATAGCACATGTAGTAAAACATACCCTATGATACAATATGACTTTTTTGTGAATAATACGGTGGTACTTGAAGTGAAGATTGTCTTAGATCCATAGCCATGGCAACTAATTGAGCAGAACAATAGAGAGATAGGCAGGTCTATGATAATGGTGATGGAGTTGTAGACACAATTTAGTAGAAGAAAAGGAGGGAGGAGAGGGTCAAGTACTCTCACACTGGGATTTAGACATTAATCCATCCTCTCTCACCAAAATGACAGTAGTCACCAGTGAAACTTGGAAGAGTTAACTCCAGATTTTAGCCTCTCCTTCACCATGAGAAGACAGGAACTCCTAGATCTCTTCTCCGTTAGACTTTGCATTGTTCCACATGGACGCTGGTAGGTTTAGCATGTATCCTAAAAGGACATTTCAGTTCTTTTCCTTTGACTATTAGTAGGTTGTTTGTGGTGGTTTGAATAAGAGCATCTCCCATATGCTCAGATATTTGAATATGTGGTTCCCAGTGGTGCTGTTTGAGGAGATTTAGGAGATATAGGCTTGTTGGAGGAGGTATGTCACTGAGAGCAAGATTTTAGGTTTCAAAATCTCATACCATTTCTACTTTGCTCACTTGGCTTCCTGCTTGCAAGCAGATGTGAGCTCTCAGCTTTGTGCTTCATTAACCATGCCTGCCTGTTGCCATGCTTTTCGAACATGATGGTGATACAGACAAATCTCTCTAGAACTCTAAGTATGAATAAACTCTTCTTTCACTAACCTGCCTTGAGAATTTTGCACAGCAATAGAAAACAGTTTAAGACAGCTGTTGAACAAGACCTGTGTCTAAAAATTCTGGTAACCCTAAGAGAAGTGGTTTATTATATAAAGAAGTAGAAGGAGTTATGGAATATGTATTAATCTATATGGTGCTAAAAGGTCTTGCAAATGCTAGGGAAATGATTCAAATAATCAGTGCTCTGAAAGCACAAAAACATGAGTTTGGTACCCAGAACGTAGGTTAAATTAAATTTAGGATTGCAGAAAATGATGATAATCCCTCATCCCTGTAGAAGCAGACAGGTGGATCCCTAAGGATCCCAGGTCAGCTGTCCTAGTTAGATAAATGAGTGTCAGGACAAACTGAAGTGGATAGCACTTGAGGAACAGCACCTCAACATAATCATGCATACGTGTGCACGTGTACACATACAAGTGTGAGGGCACAAGAGGAGTGGGGAAAAGACATTTTGATAAACCCCTGTAAGTGCAGAGTAGGTGATGAAGTTATATCAGCTCATTAGTGATTCAGAGGTTAGTGAACTAATAATAAGGTCAATAGAGAGGGACGCTGAGATCGGAATGGATGTCATGATCAGTGGAATGTTCTAGAGAAAAAGTACAGGAGTACTTCATCTTCAGTAAATGAGGTACAGCTATTATCCACAGCTGTTACTATGCAATCAACTAAACCCTGACAATTGTACTTTGAGAAGGGACACACAGTGGCAGTGTGCCTCCGTGAAAGAAAAAATATACAAAAGAAGAAACCCTCATTTTTCTTCCAGTGTCAGCTTCTCCAATTGCACAGAATAAAGTGAATGCATTTTATTATGAGCCTATGAGTCTGCAAATACTCTCTAATACTAGACACAGTGAGGAGACCTATGATTCAAACTCGTGAGTGAACCTGAGTGTGAGTACCTGGAATAGAGGATTTTAGTTGCTTTCTTTCTTAATTGTTTTGTAATACAACCACCTAGAAAATCTTCAAACTACTCTCCCAAGCTTGAAGATGATGCTTAGTCATAACCTCTACTCTCCATTGCTCACGTAATAGGATGCAGAGTCACCATAAATACAGACCTCTGGGCATGTTTGTGAAAGAGCATCTAGACAGGTTTACTTGAAGTAATGTGGGCAGCATCATTTTCTGAGCTAGGGTCCCATAGTAAATAAAAAGGAGATGGTGAGCTGAGTCTCAGTATTCATTGCTCTCTGCTTCATGACTGTGGACACAATGTCACCAGCTGCCTCAAGCTCCTGTCACCATAATTTCCCTGTCATGATGGAATACATCATTAGCCAAAGTAGATCCATCCTTCTGTACACTACTTTTTTTCTGTATAAAGAAAAACATTTGACATACCCATTTTCAAAGATGTTCTGAATTTGTTTCCTTGAAACTTTCATCAAATGTCTATTTCATCAGGACCAGATAGATTGAAAACTACTGGTTCATAGAGAATTGTTCTCCATCCAGGACACAAAGAAGATTTATGTGTGTGTCTCTATAATGATGTAATAAAATTGACTGCAAAGTAAAAAGGGGGACCAAGAAGAGAGGTTGACATCTAACTTCAGTCAACATCATCTGACTTTTTCCACATGAAGAGTTTGGGGTGATGGAGGCATCTAAATAAGCTAAACTCTGTACCCAAGCAGCTCTGTGATATTCTGAACTCATGATCCACATATTATAGAAGCAAATGGAGACATTGCTTCTTGCTTTTCTAAGATTTACTTTTGTTCCTGTGTGTGCATGCATGCATGCTTGTGTGTGTGTGTGTGTGTGTGTGTGTGTGTGCGCGCGCGCGCACGCATGTGTGTGTCTGTATAGGAGCATATACACACACACACATATGGAGCTCAAAGATCACATTTGGCTGCCATTCTCTGGGTACTATCCATATATTTTGTTTATTTGGTTAACTATTTGTTTGATTGAGTTTCTTTTTCCATCGTCTCTCACTTGGGACTTCCCAGATGTGTCACAAGGAAATATCTACCTCCACTTTGCCAGTTCTGTGAGATCAAGACCATGCCACCATGCTAACATATTTAAATAACTCAGTTATGGGGGTGCTGGAGATTTGCTACATTACTCCATGATTCTAGAGCAGGAATTTTACTGAGTGAGCCATCTCCCCAACTATAGTTACTTGTCTGAAACAAGGTTTTGAGAAGACCTTAAATTTCATTGAACTAACTGGTCCTTACCTGTAACAATTTCAACAAAAAAAGAAAATTCTGTAAACAAAGGTATTTGTAGCTGGTCTGAGAAAAGTATCAAAGGGATTCTTATCTCTAATTAAGAAGCATTTGAGGAGGAAAAAGAGAAACATTACAAATATTGAAACCACAGGCTACCTGAAATTCAGCATAGACACAAAACGTGATTGGACATGATGTATGCACATTTGCATGAGTGATAAATGAAAAACTGAACAGTTTGTCTGAAGCTTGGAGTTGATGTAGCCTTAAGTAGACATGAGAACTTAGACATTGCCTCACATGACTGAGCTGGTGTTGGAGAGTACTAGACACTGGGTTTCCAATGGGCTCCGGTTTGAGTTTTGGTCTTGCTATTTGACAGAGGTGTATATTGTTGGAAACAATCATTTAACTCCTCTGTAATGGACATTTCTCAACCTCAAAACACATACTTTTAGGTAATATCAAAATTATTGTGAGAATCATATGATCACTAAGCCAAAAATCAGTAAGTTAAGTAAAACTTTTGCTAAAGATCACTAAATAATGGTAAATGCACTAAAACATCAGGAAAAGAGAAAGAAACCAGTCATATAATTACACACCCCTTCCTGCTAGACCCTTCCCCAGCAAGTGTATTTCAAAAATGAACTTCAGATCTAGTGAGACAGTTTGGTGATAAAGTGCTTGTCCTAAAGTGAGAGGACATGACTTGAACTCCAGAACACACATTTAAAGGCTGGGTATGGTGGTAATGACTTGTAATCCCAGCACTGGGGAACCAGAGACAGGCATTTGCAGCTTATCAGCCGTGATTACTTGCCTAGTTCTTGGTCAGTGAGAGATCCATTTTGAAAAAAAAAAATCAAGATTGGTGGCTACAGTCAAAGTTGTTTTATGGCTTCCAAACATAGACATGAACACATGCATGGATGCTCTCACACACAAGAGCATCTATGACGGTAGAGTTTAAATGAGTCCACCAGACCCAGCATAGATTATAATTATGTATTTATTAGGGAAACACTTACACAGATAAGATTAAATAATCACCACAGTATTGCTGCTCCAGAAGATGCAGTCTGTGTCTTTCTGATTCTCTCCACAACCAAAGATAGTGCCACCAAGCCCCTCCTCTACCTTATAATGGGTCATGTCTTATCTGAAACCACACCAAAGGGTGTGGCCACCACAAAGTCACTGGCAAGGCAAGATGCCACTACATACACACACACACACACACACACACACACACACACACACACACACACACACTGTGTCAGGTGTATAGAAAAAAGAAAAACTGACTAAATAGCAAATCTCATATTAAGTTGCATTCCTTTCTTAGAATGGAAATTTCAGAACACAACACAAGGTATTGGTGCAAACCTTAGTATTAGTCCTGAACATATTTACTCATTTACTGATTTATTTTGTTTATGGGTGTTTTTTTCTTGCCTGTGTGTACCATGTTCATGCAGAGGTCACAGGGACCAGAAAAGAGCATCAACTAATTTGAAATTAAGGAGAACTGTCGCCCAACACATGGGTGCTAGGAAACAAATCCAGGGCCTCTGGTGGACCAGCCATTGCTGGTAATTGCTGAACCATCTCTCAGGCTTCAAGGCATTTCTTTGTTCAATGCAGCCCTAATTCCCATTGAATTGGTCTTCTGTATCTTTCTTTCTTAGTAGCAATTCTGTGCATCAGATATTTTACACTGCTGTAGGAAAATTGAAGCCTTCCTTACCATTCCTCTGTGTCTGCGTCACAATTGCAGAAGTGTCGAATGTCCAGGCAGCTCTCCTCTAGACCACATCCACACTGCTGGACCCCAGGAACAGAACCTCCCCAGTAAGGATGCTTTTCATTGGACCTCCCAATCCACCAGGTGAATGGGGCTCCATCTGAAAGACAAGATGTTTCATAAGTCAGGAGTACAAGCTAAAAGACTGCAGAAGGAATCCCTGTGGTGTGTGTGTGTGTGTGTGTGTGTGTGTGTGTGTCTGTGTGTGTACATATACAGTCCCCCCTGCCCCCTTTTTCTTATTTATTGGCTTACATTTTCTCTTTCCTCCTTTATCTTTCTGATTTCTCTATGGCAGGCATGGAGTTATTCATGTATAAAAATATTTTTATTAAGAGAACATTAGTAAATATGCATGAATGACACATTAAGATTTGGGGACATAAGCTCAAATTGATAAAAAATTAGACAATAATACAACATAGCTGGATCAACTTAAAACATTTAAAACTATACTTTATTTTCAAGTTTAACACTGTAAAATTTGTGGCTTAAATAATGCATAATAGACTGATTTGACAGTTTTAATTCAAATAAAGTGAAAATTTCAGCATACAGAATTTCTTCCTTATAAAAAAAAGTTTTCAAAAAGTCACTTTAAGTGGGTCAGTGCCATATATTATTTCAATGACTGGTTATATCTGAGTGCTATTGCACTAACAATCAGTGGAATTAAAAAGAAAACTGAACTTTTACAACCATAGCCTAAAAGAAATAATATATTTAAATACTTTTTGAATGCCAAGAAGCTCTATTTCAATACACAGATGGATGCATTCACATATACATCATGGAAAAGAAGAAAAAGAGAAAAAGACTATAATGAAGTCAAAACTAGAAAACTTAGCTGTATATTTTCTTTCATTAATTGTGGGTCATTTCTCCTGCTTCTGTTTTTCAGCAACACCTTAGTCATCCTTCCAAAACTTCAATCAGTTTTTAAGCAAACGAGACACACACACACACACACACACACACACACACACACACACACACACACACACCCCTCCATATATATGTGAGTAGAATGAGATTCTGGTGAGATTACCCGAGTCTAAATAACTCAGTAAGGGCCAAGGTTAGCCAATCCTGTCTTCCTTTTGGTAGATATCAAAGAGGGTGGAAATAGAATGCAAGCACATGTGAGAGGGATCCTGACCCATTGATTTGTCTCAATATCAGACATAAAATGACCTCATGCTCTGATCAAGAGAAGTTATAAACTTTCAAGTTCCTAGATTTAAAAGGAAGAGAATCTGTGAAGATCATATCCTGGAGATCTTCAGTGAACTATGATTCTCTGAGAAAGTGGGTGGGGGAAAGGTGGGGTGGGGTCCTGATTTCATTATTATCTTTCTGCTGTCTTTAATGCTTGAGAATATCACAGTAACTATGGCTGCCATTTGGAAGATGATCGTACATCCCAAACAAGAGTAGGCACTGTTAAGGGACCCTGGACAGCATCAGCTGAAGGCACCAGAACCAGCTTCCTTTGACTGTCTTCCTTTTGCTTGGCAAATGCTAGATACTTAATATTTAAATCAACAACAAATTACAGGCTCTTTTACTCATTTTCCAGATATAAAATCCTACTCTTGAGACTATAGTTCAATGGGTCAGAGCACTATGCTTGACCAGAAACTGAGAAGCCCTGGGTTGGATTCCCAGTAGCAAATACATAAACTAGGTATAGTGGCAGACACCTGTAATCCCAGCACTAAGAATGTGGAGAAAAGAGGATCAAAAGTTGAAAGTTGTGGTCAGTTACGCAACAAGTCCAATGGCAGCCTAGGCTGAAAAGATACTTCCTCAAAGCAAATCAAACAATAATTAGAATTATAAAGCAGTGGCAAATTTCAGTTTGTGCATGCTGTAATATTGGACTTTTACACAAGCAGGATGTCATTGTTCATGGAAATCCTTATTTTCATACAGTCACTATCTACATATACAAAGTATCCACTGCCTCCAAACTGTTCACACAGATGACCTGTCCTGGAAGTCTTTGAGGCAAGCAGTCAGATAGAAGACAGTCTACAGCCCAGTGCTATAAGCCATGAGAAAAAAATGAGGAAGGTCTATGAAAAGGGGAGATGTCTTTATGAAGTGGGGGATGTCTTTTTAAAGTAGATAAAGGTCTTTATGAAATGAATTGAAAGTCTTTACAAAATACAGGAGGTCTTTATTAAAAGGGGGGATGTCTTTATGAAATGGGGGATTCTTTATGAAATGGGGGAAGGTCTTTGTGAAATGGAGAGGTCTTTATGAAATGAGGAGGTCTTTATGAAATGGGAGAAGTATTTATGAAATAGGGGAGGTATTTATGAAAAGCATAGTTATTCTGAGGGGCTGCTTCACTGAGAAGAGCAGAAAATGTCCCCCTGCATCCCACTATCATGTCTGGCTTAATATCTACACCTCCTACATTACTGTCTTCCTGTTTAAATTTTCCCATGCAGATTATTGCTAACTAAGACCCTTTTCTTAAGACATTTCCTAAATGACAAAAACATCTATATCATTTGAGTAAACTTCAGATGAAATGCCTTCCTCCTAAATCCCTGGCTACAAGCCATACTCAAGTGACATCAACAGCTGACAGGTTATTTTACTGTATAAAAATAAAGGAAAAGAAAAATATTTAAATATATCCATATTTAATTATTTGTTGTTTTTCTTTTTTGTTTTTTATTACAGATCACCCATCTTTATTTTTCCATCATTATGAAGTAATAGAAGAGAAAATGAGGGAACTGAGAATCCAAACAGTATGTGCTTTGCCTTGATTTACAACTTAACTATAATCAAGGAAAAGATCTATACTTTAACTGCAAATGTTGGCCTTTGGAGACTTTTCTCTTCTATTGACAGAAAACTGCTCCATCGGTGAAGGAATGAAATATTATTTATTTTTAAAATAGTGATTTATTATACAAACATGGTGCAATTGATTAATTTTGGACACAATTCTAAGGATTATATTATCAGAAATAAATCACAGAACAAAATCAAAGCAAAGAAACAAACAAAGCATGATTTTGAGTTTGTATTGATAACAGGAAAATGTATAAAAATACAAATTATGGGTGAGGAAAAACTTTAGCCAATCAGGTGTTGGCCTTGTTAACTAAGAATTTGAGCTCTATCCCCAGAAACTGCATGACAAAAAAAGAAAGAAAGAAAAAGAAAAACGAAATGTTCAGACACGGTGGTACTGCCTTGTGACTCCAGTGTTGGGAAGGCAATAGAGACAGATGAATGAGTAGGCTACATGACTAACTAGCCTAGACTACTCAGAGCTGCAGTCCAGTGAGAAAACATGGTGCCAGGTCCAACACCCAGCATTGTTCTCTGACCTCCACATGTGAGTACGCATGCATGCACATGCACACATACATAAAAATGAAATAGATCCCTGTGTGTCTGTGTGGAGGGGTGTGGGAGAAGAAGTAGGAGGAAGACAGAGGGAAAAGGGTAAAGAAAGAGGAGGAACAAGAAAAAGAAGAGAAGCAGGAAAGGAAAATGAGACAAGGGAGAGGAATATTAGGCCACAGCCATTTCTTCATCAACTGTTGAAGAAAAATATTGTATCTTTATTCCAAAAACTGCAGAAGATCAAGTTCAGAAGTTTTAGTAAAGAGTATGATGCACCATGCTGCTCCGAAGGTTTCCTCAATGAGTGCCAATATGCTATTTCCAGAGGAATAGTTTAAGGAGAGAAGAAAAGTTGATATGTGTGCGCTTCTATGCACATTCACATGTGTGCAGGTAGAGGCCAGAGATGAGTGCCCAGAGTCTTCCTCAACTGTGCTCTGCCTGGTTTATTAAGACAGGATCTCTCTTTGAACCTGCAATATATCGATTAAGCTAGACTAGCTGACCAGGATGCTCCAAGGATCTTCTTGTCTCTATTTCCCTAAAACTGGGGCTACAGATAATCCTGGGAATAGTCTGCATTACACCACCACACCCAGCCTTTGATTTTTCTATTTTATTAATGTGAGTTCTGACCATTGAACTCAGGTCCTCCTGATTGCAAAACAAACACTTAACCCCTGTGGCCACCTCCCCCTTTTGAAAGCAATCCATTGAATTAAATAATTAGGCATGAGCATATTTTGTTCAAATTTGGGTCGATTGTGGTTTTCCTGATACAAGAAATCCACATGAAGTCATGGACCACCCTCTTTGCACAATTAGGGTTTAATGAATAGAATTCAAATTGGAGACACTCTTGAAATTTGAATTGGTTACATTTAAAAGACAGTAAAGACACAGCCTCGCAGTGATGCCTGTACATGAGTCAGGACAGTTTAACTGCATCTACTTTCAGAAGCAGTGCAGGTACCTCACAAGCAATCTGAGGAAGGAGCTGGGGACATCTGGAGTTCCGAGCCCTGCTGTGCTGAGCGACATTGTTATTACCTCTTTAAACCATTTTATTATGTTTTGTCTCACATTCTTCAGGGAATTGATTTTCTTTTTCCTATTTTTAATTTTAATTACAATATAATTGCATAATTTCCTCACTGCCCTCTCCTCTCTCAATCCATGTCCCATTCCTCCAGTTCCTCCCTTTTACATTGCTAGTCTGATTTTTATTAAATATATATATATGTATAAATATATAAATGCAACCTGCAGAGTCTGTTTATTCTTGCTTGTTTTCATATGATTTCTGGGCTTACCACTTGGTATTGGAAAGCTAATTAGGGGGCTCATCCCTGGGAACGGCTACCTCTCCCTTTCTCAGCATTCATTAGGTATCTGTAGTTCTTTGTCTGTAAGTGGATCCCCAAGAGATTTCCCCGTCCACATTAGCACATATTTTGACATTATCATTTTTCATGTCTCATTTGAGGCACCACAATGTTGATATATCATGGGTGTAGCTTCCCTGTTATTCCTAGGAAAACAGTTTCACAGCCATCTTCCTGACCTTATGGCTCTCACAAATTTTCTATTCTGTCCTCCATGGTGTTCCCTGAGCCTTAGTTGTTTCGGTGTGGTACCTGATCATACCCAGTCTCCTTTTTTTTCTGCCATGAAACCTTTCCACTTACACCTATGCACCTTTTCATATACAGTGTATGTCAGTTT